GTCTCCAAGGCTGTCAGTCTTCACAGAAGCAAAGCCCAAACCACACCCACTGCCGTGGAGTCCATTCTGACCCACAGCGCCCCTAGAGGACAGAGCGGAACTGCCCCAAGGCTGTCAATCTTTACAGAAGCCAACTGCTGCATCTTTCTCCCGGGGAGCTGCTGGTGGTTTTGAACCGCCTGCCCGTCTTTTGGTGAGCAGCTGAACCACTGTGCCGCCAGGGTTCCTTCCTGCAGCAAACAGATGCCTGTATTACCACCTCTTGGAGATAATTGCTATTATTTGTAGATCTATAGCGAGAACTAGATACTTACAGTTTCAAAGGTCTGTCCACAGGAAGCAGCTAAGAACGTGAGAAGTGGGCCGGCTGTGTTGCTATGACAGTGGCCTTCCTTTTACATACCGGGACAGAGCTTTCCAAACGCCCCACCACCCTCTTGGGCATAGTATAGTGGGTGATCTCATCTAAATATGCTGGAAAGTAAAGCCAGCTGCATCATGTCGTTAGGGGCCGTTGAATCGGCTCCGACCCATAGCCGCCCTCAGTAGAGCAGAACGGAACACTGCCCGATCCCACACCGTCCTCACAGTCCTGCTGTGCTCGGGCCCGCCACTGTGGCCACGTGTCACTCCGTCTCATTGAGGGTCTTCCCCTTTTCCACTGACCCTCCACTTTACCAAGTGTGATATCTTCCCCCACGGATTGGTCCCTTCTGCTGTCAGAAGCTGAACCATAGGTTTGTACATATATTACATGTTATGACAGTGCTTCCTTAAATTCCGTTGGTACCAGGTGCTGCGTTAGCACTCCTTCTTATATGAAACATGCTGTTTATGTGGTTGCCATTGAGCTGTTTTTGCCTCATGGTGACCCCGTGTGTGCAGAAGGTGCCCTGGTGGTGCAGCGGTTAAGCATTTGGCTGCTAACAGAAAGGCTAGTGGTTCGAACCCACATGGCGGTTCCATGGAAGACAGACCTGGCCGTCTGCTTCTGTAAAGATGACAGCCTATGAAACCACACAAGGCAGTTCTATTGTGTCACATGGAGTCACGAGGAATCTCCCTCGGGTGGAGGTTGCAGTGAGCATGGTCAGGTCACTTCCTTTAGAGTGGACAGTGGCTGTCATCTGCTGATTGCAAAGCCGGGTGCTGGCACGGGGTCCAGAGGCAGACAGGAGGAGACAGGCTCTAAAGAACATAGACGGGTGAGCTCAGCTATCTCACAGGTGGAACAGCCGAGGCCCAGAGCCAGGACAGCTTCCAGAGCCCCATGGCCTGAGCTGGAGGGTCAGGGTTCACACGGCGTGGAGCCTGACTCCTGAGCCCGTGGGCTCCTTACTGCCCTGTGCATGTGGCAAGACCTCCATGTTCAAAGGGCAATTCAACCCTGCAACAGTAGCCTTGGGCCACCCTGGGAACACTCAGAACCTCGGCTCTTCATCTGCAGATGAACCAGCTGCCGGCGCTCTGTCCCCTGTTACACACCCCGTGTGTGTGGTTGCTGGTTGCCGTCCAGTCAAATCTGACTCACGGTGACCCATGTGCACAGAGTAGAGCTGGCTCCTTGGGGTTTTCAAGGTTGCCAGGACTTCCTTCTGAGGTACCTCTTAGTACCTTTCACTAGTGGTTGAGAACTTGACTGTTGTTGGCACCCTGGAACTCTAACACACCCAACAGATGCTGGCGCACTCAAGTGCTGCCTCCCTTAGACACACAGGCCTGGAGGGTCCTGGGGTCTTTGGACCCCAGCTGAGTGCTCCCCTCCACTCCCAGGCTGTTTAAAAATGGGGCAGCTCCCCACCGTCCTTGGGGCAGCTCCCCACCGTCCTTGGGGCATCGCCTGGATCCCTCGTTCCCTGTCTGAATGACATTTGCAGCATCACAGGGTCCACGAGAAAATTAGCAAAGCAAACTGAGGTGGTCAGATACACAGTCCTTGCTTGTAACGTTTAGCTGTTGTCTCTCAGCACATTGTGTCTGAATCCTTCAAATGCATGGAGACAAAGTAACTCCACAACATTATGTAGACAAAAGAGACATTACAAGAGAGGGACCCTTGCCTCAGGCATGCTGGTCAGATGGCTGCCCTGTGGGCCCATCTCATCTCAAAGGTCTTTGGTGGAATGTGTTAGAATTTTCTTTTCTTTCTTAATAATTCACTTTTTGTTGTTGTTGAAAATATACACAGCAGCACACACCCCAATTCGACCATTTCTACCCAACGATTCAGTGACATTGATTCCACTCTTTGAGTTGCACAACCATTCTCACCCCCTGTTTCTGAGTTGTTCCTCCTCCATGAGCATCAACTCCCTGTCCCCAGAGGGTCCCATCTAACCTTTCGAGTTGCTGTTGGCAGTTTGATCCGTAGACATCGTTCTTCCAAGAGCACGGTGCTCAAGGCAGCCATTTTTCACTAATGAAGCTAAACCTTTTTTTTTGGTTTAAGATTTAAGGTTGAAAGATTATTCAGAACAATAGTTTTGAGGGTTCATCCAGCCTCTATGGCTCCAGAAAGTCTTGATTTTATGAACACTGAAAATTCTGTTCTATGTTTTCCCCCTTTTGATCATGATTCGTCTCTAGAATCTTTGATGATGCAATTTTTTGAGTCTTAGTTTTCTCATCATAGAAGGGAGTAATAATAGCCCCCTCTGTTGGTTTATTGCATCTAAAACCCCAGCACAGGGCCCAAAGCAACACCATTGACATCAGGTTGATTCTGACTTGGGGCAGCCCCGGGGGTACACAGTGGGACTAGGGGTACACAGTGGGACTGAGGTTACACAGTGGGAATGAGCCCCATGGGATTTTCTTGACTGTTATCTTTATGGCGACAGATTGCCAGGACTTTCTTCCGTGGCACCACTTTGCGGGTTTGGACTGTCACCTTTTAGGTTAATAAGCCAAGTGCAAACCATAGCACCCCCCAGGGACCCAGCACAGGGCCAGACATGGTAAGCACCCAGGAAATGTTCTCCTTCTTCTCCTTCTCCGTTCTGCCTGTAAGTCACACACCCTCTTCTCCCCCAGCCCTGCCTGCCACCCCACGCGAGTCAGAGGACAGCACTGCAGTGAGGCTCTTCCCGCTGCAGAAGGTAGCCTGCAGCACCACCCGTTCCCGCAAAGAAGGGGCGGGCGCATCTCCTTGCCGCGTGGAGGGCCTCAATGCCTGGCTTTGGAGTTAATGTTGCGGAGATTGACGACCTGCTGTCCGCATGTGGGTTTAGTGTGACGAGGGCTCACAATGCGCTGCTGTTTCTAAGACAGCTTGATTGTGGGGGTCAGACCGCACCTTTGTCCAAGCCTCTCGACTTCGGGTGCCGGCTGATTCCACTCTTGTTCTCTGCAGTTCCTTCCGCCGCCCCCAGGAACGTGTCGGCCGAGGCGGTCAGCTCCACCCAGATCCTCCTCACCTGGGCTTCGGTGCCTGCTCAGGACCAGAACGGGCTCATCCTGGGCTACAAGGTACATACGCTTCAGGGCTCCTTCCACGGCTCAGGATGCGGGGTGGGAACAGTGACTGCCGAGTGACCCCCAAACCAGTGGGCTTGGTGCCCCGTACAGATCACAGCACTGGCCAGCCTCCTGGTTTTCACATGCACGCTCCTGTCTGGTCCTCATTACAGCCTGGGAACGAGGCCTGGCGACCAGCTTCAGACAAAGCAGGCATCCACTCCCTGTGGAGCTGAGCTCTGCTCTGACCTGGGGGCACCGTGACTCAGCACCAACTCAGCAAGTGCTTGGCTGTAGCCTCAGAGGCTGGAGCTCACAGCTCGTGTGGCAGACGGCAGGGCTTCTGAGCTGTGAGCTAGGTGTCCAACGGCGCCGAGAAGCCCAGGGGCCGGCTGGCTGATTTGCAGGGAGAGAGCTGTGTTTGTAACAACACTTGTGTGAGGGCATACGGTTGACATGGCTGCCATCGGGGGGCTGGCCAATGCTGGGTTGGCAGCCAACGCACCACCCATAGGCTGGATTGTAATTCAAGCTCACCCCCTACTCTGGAGTACAAGTGCTTCACCACCATCTTTCAAAAAAATCTGTGTATGAGGAGCCCTGGTAGCCTAGTAGGTAAGGGCTCAGCTGCTAACTGAAAGATGAGCAGTTCAAGCCCACCAGCCGCTCCATGGGGGAAAGATGAGGCAATGTGCTTTTGCAAAGATCCACAGCCTTGGAGACCCTGTGGGCAGTTCCACTCTGTCCTCTAGGGGTGCTGTGGGTCGGAATGGACTCCAGGCAGTGGGTGTGATTTGGGCTTTGCTCCTGTGAAGATTGACAGCCTTGGAGACCCCGTGGGCAGTTCCACTCTGTCCTCTAGGGGCGCTGTGGGTCAGAATGGACTCCACGGCAGTGGGTGTGTATCTGTATGTCTGTCTGTCCGGTTTATTGAAATTACCATATTTTTGCATATAACACAGACATACATGTAACATGCACAGTGCACATGGAAGCCTACTGCATGAGGGCTTGCAGGGATTGCCAAGCAAAGTGTGCTGTATGTGCTTTCTGCTTAGAAGTGCAGCAGCTCTGTGGTCCACAGCTGTGTCACAGTGGTGAGTCCGACCTCGGCCCCGGGGCCCCACCAGCAGTCTGTGCCTCTAACCACTGTGCTGTGTACCGGCAGGTTCTCTTCCGGGCCAAGGACTTGGACCTCGAGCCCAGGACCCACGTCGTGCGGGGGAACCACACGCAGTCTGCCCTGCTGGCGGGCTTACGCAAGTTCGTGGTCTATGAGCTCCAGGTGCTGGCCTTCACCCGCATCGGGAACGGGGTGCCCAGCCTGCCACTCATCCTGGAGCGCACCAAGGACGACGGTAGGTGGCTGTCCACGCCCTCTTCTGGGTCTGCTCTTCCAGCTCGAGCCATTCCACTCCCTTTTCAAGTCTTTCTTTGGCTTGTTTTTCAGTTGAGGAAAAGAAAGCAAAATTGTTTTCCAGTCACTGAACATGTATTTGGCAGTTTCAGTCTGGAGTGAATTTTTAATGATAAACTTAGAGGTCCCTGAATGACGCATTCAACCATCCCCTGCTGTCAGGGGTGCCGTGGAAGAAAGGCCTGGCAATCTGCTTTCATAAAGATTAAACCAAAACCACACCCACTGCCCTGGAGTCCATTCGGACCCACAGCGCCCCTAGAGGACAGTGTGGAACTGCCCCACAGGGTTTCCAAGGCTGTCAACCTTCACAGAAACAGACTGCCTTGTCTTTCTCCCGTGGAGCAGCTGGTGGGTGCAAACTGCCCACCTTTTGGTTAGCAGCCCAATGCTTTACCCACTGCCCCACGCGGGCTCCTCTGTAAACATTACAGACATGAGAACCCCATGGTAACACATGGGATTGGCACGAGCAGCGGGCAGCACAGGTACCCCGTTTCCATTCTTCCTTTGTCAACTACCAGCTGACAGGAAATCTGCCATTGCTCAGCAGGCGGTGGGAGAGACGCAGTCAGGGGGGTGGGCGGGGTCACAGCACGTGCGGCTGCGGTGCCTGTCTTTGTGAACCTGTGTAAGGGATCCTCGACTGAGCACGGCCTCAGCCCGCCCGGCGCCCGCTGCCTCAGCGTCTACCTCATCAGAGATAATGTGCGGTCCCGGCAGAGTGTGCAGGGTCCCAGAAACCAAATCCAGAGGCCGGAATAACAAGTCCATCTGGCCTTGGCTTGAGGGAGTCTCAATGATCAGCAAATATGTTTGTCCATTTGCAGATGCCAAACCTTAACAGTTAGCCCTCACACTTGCTTTGTTAAACAGACTGTCGTGAGTATGTCAGGGAGCATTTTGACCCTCCCTCCCTGCAAAAAACCCGTTGTGGGATCTAGAAACATAGAGTAGCTGGCAAAGCAAGCAGTGAGCATGTCCAGCTGCTGACCAAAAGGTTAGGGGTTCAACTCCACCCAGAGGGCCGAGGAAGAAAGCCGTGGTAAATCTTCTTCCAGAAAGTCAGCCATTGAGACTGACTCATTGAGACTGAGTAATTCAATGGATGGAGTGGCCTCTGCACACAGCCTCTCCTCCCTCCCTCCTCCAAGGCCTGAAGCTGGTGCTTAGAGACTGGGGCACCACCAGTTACCCTTGGGGACCAGCTCTGAAAGCATCTAAATGCCCTTTAGGTGGGATTTACCGTCAGCACCATTTCATCATCATAAAGAAATGGGACAGCCTCTCTGGAGTATTCACCCAGGAGATAAGGAGGCCGTGTGTCCAGCCAGTGGGCACGCATGTAGCCAGTGCACAGTAAGGAGGCCACATGTCCAGTCAGTGGACACGCACGTAGCCAGTGCAGAGTAAGGCCGTGTGTCCAGCTAGTGGACATGCATGTATCCAGTGCACAGTAAGGAAGCCGTGTGCCCAGTCAGTGGACATACATGCAGCCAATACACAATTAGGAGGCCACGTGTCCAGTCATTGGACATACATGCAGCCAGTGCAGAGTCAGGAGGCTGTGTGTCCAGTTAGTGGACACACACGTAGCCAGTGCAGAATAAGGCCGCGTGTCCAGCCAGTGGACATGCATGTAGCCAGTGCAGAGTAAGGAAGCCACATGTCCAGTCAGTGAACACGCACATAGCAGTGCAGATTGTTTTCAGGGACTTTTGAACAACTAGAGGAAGTATTTATAAAGGGTCTGATATGTAAAAGCAGTACATAAAGCTGCTTATATATATGGATGGCCCCAATATTTTAACAAAATATTGTAAGTAGAAATAAATAGAAAAATAAACCAGAGTGAAGAACAAAGGGAAGCCCTGCAAAGCCCCTTTCCCTCTGACACTCGTGGGGTCACCGTGACTCAGGGTGGGCTGCCTGGCTCCTGGGTGAGTCTGCCACGTGGGGTCACCATGACTCAGGGTGGGCTGCACAGCTCCTGGGCTTCTGGCCTATGAAGCACCTGTGGTTTTCTTAAGCATCTTCCCTGCAGTAATTACAGTCCGTCACTCTCACCGCTGAGTGAGGGCTGTGCCGCTCCACGATGCTCTGGGCACGCCCTGCCTGCGCTCACGTTGTGGCTGCTGGGTGCTGGCCAGTCCATCCCGATGTGTGGAGACCCCTCACGACAGGCTAGATCTGCCCCGTAGGGTCTGCCTGGTTCTGTCCGCGGAAGCAGGCCTCCAGGTGCATGGTGGTTTTGAACCATCAACCTTGTGGTTAGCAGTTGAGTGCTTAACTGCCGCACCACCAGGGCTCTTTTGAGCCTTGCTATTGTCTGTATCAAGCTCGGGTGAGGACGGTCATCACAAGCCTGTGTCAGGTGCCCGCTGACAGCCTCAGGGACACGTCTGAGAGGGGGGCAGGGGCAGGGAGGTTGTTACCTTCCAAAACTGTATGAAGCTAGAAAGGAGCCCTGGTGGCCCGGTGGTTAAAGCACTAGACTGCTAACGGGAAGGTCGGTGGTTCGAGCTCACCAGCCGCTCCGCGGGAGAAAGACGTAGCAGTCTGCTTCCGTAAAGGTTTACAGCCTAGGAAACCCTGTGGGCAGTTACGCTCTGTCCTACAGGGTCACCAGGACCTGGAATTGACGGCAGTGGGGGTGGTGTTTTTGGTTTTGAGACTATAATGTGTTTTGAGTTTCACAAATGACAAGGTTAGGGGGACATTTGAAAAGCTGTTCCTCAAAGCCAGGTTGAATATGGTGGTTTCTTCCCAAGGTGTGTGCCGGTGAGACCTGGGAGCTGGGTCTCCTTAGCTCACTGTCCTGACATCAGCTTGCTGTCCCTCCTCATTGTAATTCCAGTGGGCAGCCTTGGGGGTAACCAGGTGACAGCCAGGTGGCAGGTACATGATAACCAGGTGACAGCCAGGTGATAAGCAGGTGCAGCGAGGCTGGAGGAGCCCGACTTGAGTGTGTGTTGGGAGCTGGGCCTGCCTCCTGCGCCAGGCTCTCCTTGCCTGTACTTGAACCAACCACGGTGTCATCACACAATTGAAATTTAAAAGACTGTTCTCTGTGTAATAGCTGGAGGCTGATTTCAACAGCCCTCCAGTGAGTGTTACACACATGATTTGATTTGAGTTTGATTGCTCAGTGGTTGCTGCTGCTTGCCTGGTAATCAATCAGGTGTTAAGTTCCGGGGCTGGCCACTCGCTGATTTGCCTACTCACTCGAGTGAGCGAATTGTCTGGGGACTGTGACCCTGTTGTCAAAGGTTCTGGAAGCAGCACTGCTTCTCGTTCCTGACACGTCTCTGTCACACTGAAGCCCTGTCACATGCACGTGTTTAGCAGCTCTTCACTTTCTGTGACAAGGTGGGAACGAGGTGGTGTGCAGAAGAGAGGACCCGTGGGATAGACGGCGTTCTTGGTCACCGGTTCTGACCTCATCTTGACGGAGGCCCTCGAGGCCTTCGCTAACGTCTGCTTTGCAGGTGTCGAGTCCAGTCAAAGAACCTGACGTCGGACTGGAGAAACCTTTACCTTCATGGCAGGCAGCCTGTGGGTGGGGTCAATTGTGGCCAGCGTGCTGGTTCCATACAATTCCCTGTGTCATTACTGATCACAGCGTTCATTACTTGGAAAGCAGATGGGCAGGATTCAAAACGAAGTGATTCTCAAAACCATTAGGGAGCCACACAGAGCCAGTTAGGGTCCAAAGTCATTTGCCCCAGATGTAGAGTGTGTCACCAATAAAGAGTGTCATCAGTGGTCGCCAGCTGCTCTGTGGTGGGCAGTTGGTGTGGTTGATGGCAGGTGGAAGGCAGGTGATATCATAGGTGTGTGGCTAGCCAGGCCAGGGGAGGGAGGTGCTGTGGTCCTGGTGGCGTGGTGTCGGGCGGGGGCAGCCAGGCCAGCTCACGACACCCTCTAACCAGTCACACACCCACGGACCATTGACGGCCTCTGCTGACTGGAACTGTTTGTTTGCCATCAGCCCCAGGCCCACCTGTGAGACTGGTCTTCCCGGAAGTGAGGCTGACGTCCGTGCAGATCGTGTGGCAGCCCCCGGAGGAACCCAACGGCGTCATCCTGGGTAAGGGAGCGGCGTCCTGGGTAAGGGAGCGGCGTGCCGAGGAGGTCGTCGCTCGGGAGAGGGAGCCCGCTGTTTCAGGGTCGGCAGCAGATGCTCGCGGCCCCCGTGCTCCCCGGTGAGCTCAGAGCCAGGGTTTCTGGGATGGAGTTCACCTTTTGTTGACCCAGATTGTCTTCCCGTTTGTTCTGGTTTATAGCGGTACTGTTTGTAGCTGGCCTTCCGTTCAGCTCTGAAATAACCAGGCCACTTCGATGTGTATTTAGCAAACAACAGGCCAGTTTTTCGCGGAAGATGTAGACCTCGGATACTTCCCCCCACCACCCCCCGAGTCCTGGGAGCATCTTTCTTCTGCTCCAGGGCCTGCACCCAATCCTGTTAAGAAGCTGCTGAAGTAAATCACGTGCCTCACGTCCCAGGGACTTTGTCTGCGTTTAGCTTTCCGTAGGGAGAAGCATCTCTGATCACAGTTGGTAAAAAGCCTTAATTTCTCTGCAGTTCACAGAGGCAGCAAATCGTCCTTGAACGAGTCCCCAGGTTCCTTATTTAGTCCCTCACGTGTGAGTCCCTCACGTGTGCCGAGACACACTCAGGGCTTCCCGGCTGCTGGGCAGCGTGTGGGGTGGGAACCCAGGAGAGAGCAGGGCACGCCCACCCTCAGGATAGGAAAGGAGGTGGCCCAGCGGCAATTCACTGGGACACGGGAGGTCACAGTCACGCCAGCAAATGCCCCGGAAGCAGTTCCTTCTGGGCTGGGCATGCCACAGGAGGGAAGGCTGCTTGTGAGTTTTTGAAAGTCTCTGAAGAGGGAAGAAGGGCGTCCGCCTGTCCCAGGCAGAACGCTGTTTGTCAGCCAGAGGGTGACAGAGGAGGACTGGAGTGTGGGCCAGCATCTGACCCACTCGGTGGTGCAGCATACATCCCATAAGCCTGGACTCATCAAGTTGGGCGTTTTCAGGGACGGGCATGGGCGTGCGACACCGTTCCAGACCCGGGCAGGTAGTCAGCCAGCCCCGGCCCCTCGGTGCCAACGGTCAAACTGGACCGCGCTGAGAGTTGACAGTTCAAACCACCCAGAGGTCCCTCCAAGGAAGGGCCTGAAGGTCTGCTTCCAGAAGGTCACAGTTGGACTCTGTCACGAGGGGTTGTGGGAGTCAGAACCCACACAGTGGCAGCACCAGCAACAGCCTGTGGGAAGGAACCCTGGGTGGCACAGACAGTTAAGTGCTTCACCACTAACCAGAAGTCTGGTGGCTCAAACCCACCCAGAGAGGCCTTGGAGGAAAGACCCGGCCATCTGCTCCCAAAAGATCAGCCCTGAGAGCCCTCCAGAGCACCAGGCGTGCGCTCGGACAGCCTGGGTGTGTTCAGGGCTGGCACCAGGCATGTGTTCAGACCCCTGGGTGCGCTCAGACCCCCTGTGTGTGCTCAGACCCTCTGGGTGCGCTCAGACACCCTCTGTGCATTCAGGTCCGGCACTGGGCATATCCTCAGACCCCCTGAGTGTACTCAGACCTCTTGTGTGCCTTTAGGGCTGGCACTGGGTGTGCGCTCAGACCCCCAGGTGCACTCGGAGCTGGCCGGCACCAGGCGTGTGCTCAGACCCCCTGCGGGTGCTCCAGGCTGGCCGGCACCGGGCATGTACTTTATATTCTGCCACGATGCATCGCATCGACTTGTTTTCATCACCCCATTTGCTGGGCAGAGGGTTCATGCTGACTCACGAGGGAGAGAAACATAGAAGGACCAGGTACTCCTGTGTCTGATACACGGTCAGACGTGTGGGCTCCGACTGCAGACTGGGAGGCGTGGAACCTCGCCGCGGCCTGGGCAAAGGGGCAGCGCTGGTATTCCATAAGCTCCTCCTCAGCAGAGCAGCTGGCCAACGACTGTGCTCCGTCCAGAGTCACACACAAAGCCTCCCGCTCCCGTTCCAGTCCCTGTGTCGTGCTGCCACTTTGCTGTGACTGTAACAAGTGTCTGCTGGGTCATCTGCCACCACGTGTAGGTACAGCCAGCACGCCAGTGTAAACGCTGTGGAGCAGACAGAGAGCAGCCCTCAGGTTCAAGTTGGTGTTCACAGGGGAGAAAGGAAAACGGCTCCTTGCAAGACTCACTGCACCCTGAGACCTTGAATCCACGTCGCCAATCAGACAGTGGCCTTCTGAGGTTTGCAGATGAGTGGGTTAGAGGCACACTTGACTTACGTGCCCTGAGCTCTCCGGGGGTGAGCTTGGACAGACCAGCAAGTCACTCAGCAGCACGGCTGGGCCCACGCTGGCCTCCCAGGATGGGTGTCAGCCGGGCGTCACCACCCACACCAGCCGGAGTGACCACCGAGCAGTCCCACAGCGTGTGCCCTGCCAGTGGCCTCGCTCCAGGGACCTGAGCATCGGGGTCCAGCACCGATTGCCAAGCAGACGACACTCCGCCTGATGCCTCTGGCGGGCCCAGGAAGCCCCAGAACCATGCAGTCACTTCCGACTCACGGCAACGCCCCGTGTCACAGAATACAATTCCCCATTGGGCTTCCTTGGCTGCAATAGTTACAGAAGCAGACTGCCATGCCTTTCTCCCCGTTACCGCTGGGTGGGGTTGAATGGCCCACCTTAGGTTAGTGGTTGATTGTAAAGTGTTGGCACCTTTTCCAGGAAGCCTACCAGGCCTGAAAGGTGTGCAGCCACCTAAAAAACAAATGTGCGCAGAAAACCCTTTAAAGGAGCCCTTGGGCTGTCTCCCTGACATCGTCTACAGTCAGCCCTCCAGCCAAGGTGTCGAGACCCCCACATCTTCCGTCCACTGCTGTGTCTTCTTAGGTGCTTCTTTTTGCTTCTCCCAAGATGGGAGCTTGTGGACCTTTCCCATGGTGCTGGGCTCTGGAACTGTCCCATGATGGAAGGTAGCCTCACACCCTTTTCTGAGTCTGACTGCCTCACTGATGGGGTTCCCTCCACCACACAGGCATCGCAGGGCGTCTGCTTTGGCCTCTTGCGCCCTGTTCTTTCAGTCCTCACTTCGGATCCATGCTTCCATGTTGGCTTTGTTCCCACGAATGCCTGCATTATCATAATTCACCCATCACCTTAACAACAGTGCTTCTCCCGGCCGCATCGCACTCACTCTATTGATTCAGTTTATCTATTCCTTCCTACACCCTGTCATCCCCTGACCTTGCAGCGCTGAGATCCAGCTGCTAATGCTTCCGATGCAGCTAAAACCATAATTACACAACTAGCCTTTACCTCCAGACACAGTCTGTCATTATTCCCAAAAACGCAGGAACCAGTGCACGGCTGCTGCTGCTGCTTGGCCGTTTACGTACAGGAAAAAAAAGACCAACACGGCTCTCGTCTGCCTTCCATCGAGTCTAGGTCGTATTTAAAAACATGTCAAGGTTAGAAACAGGTGTTAATCTCTACGTTCATGGACCAGCACAGCGACCAGCTGGTACTGCCCTCATTTCAGGGTACACGGTCAGGAGGTACAGAAAAAAGCCCGAGGCTGACAGGCTCCCAGACAGACTGAGAACCCAGATCTCACGAGCTTGGGAGCAGATGACAGTGTGCTCTGTGGCTTACAGGTGCCGTCTCCTCACGTCATCAGTGTGACTTTGGAAGGCGGTGTCCACTCCGCTTACAGCTGCAGACACCGACGGTCAGAGGCAGCTGGGGCAGCCATGCTGCAGACACACCTCCATCGTGGGTGTCTGTTGTGGTCCTTTCGTGGGAGGACTGGGCAGCCACCCAACTCATGTTTCTGATGGAAAAAAAATGCTCTCAGTATAGCATTGGGCGAAATAGCAATAACTGTCGTTGTTAGGTGCCATCAAGTAGAACCCAACTCACACAAAAGAGCAAGAGCACTGCCCTGTCCTGGGCCGTTCTCACCATCCTTGCTGCTTGAGCCCATGGCTGCATGTCAGTCTTCAGCAGTAAGTGCTTCAAGTCCTCGTCACTCTCAGCGAGCAAGGGTGGGTCGTCTGCTATCACAGGTTGTTACTGAGTCTTCCCCCAGTCCCGATGCGGCGTTCTTCTTCATACCGTCCAGCTCCTCAGACTATCTGCTCAGCACACAGAGTGAATAGTATGGGGAAGGATACACCCCTGACGCACATCTTTCCTGATGTGTCCCCCCCTCCTGTTTGAACATCCAAGATGGTCTATGTACAGGTTCCCCATGAGCACAATGAAGCGTTCTGGAGTTCCCATTCTTTGCAGTGTTATGAGGAATTGATTATCACCCACACAATCGAATGCTTTTGCATAGTCGATAAAACACAGGCAAACATCTTTCTGGTATTCTTTGCTTTCAGCCGAGATCCATCTGACATCAGCAGTGATATCCCCCGTTCCGCGTCCTCTTCTGAATTTGCCTTGAATTTCCAGCAGTTCTGTGTCCATGTACTGCTGCAACTGTTTTTGAATCATCTTCAGCAAATTTTATTGCATATGATACTAATGGTATAGTTCAATAACTTCTGCGTTCTGTGGCATCACCTTTCCATGGAATGGGTACAGATATGGCTCTCTTCCAGTCAGTTGGCCGGGTAGCTGTCTTCCACATCTCCTGGCACAGCCGAGTGAGTGCCTCCACGGCATCCATTTGGTGAAGCGTCCGAGGGCCTTCTGTCAGTTCCTGGAGGCTTGTTTTTGCTGATGCCTTCAGTGCAGCTCGGGCTGAGTGTTTTCTTCCCTTTCAGTTTGCCGACTCCGGTCTCCACACATCTCGTTATAACACTTCACTCTGTCTTCTCAGTCCACCCTTCGAAATCTCCTTTTCAGCTCTTTTACTTCATCATTTCTTCTATTCACTTTTAGCTACTCTCCAAGAGCAAGTTTCAGAGTCTCTTCTCATTTTGGCCTCTCCTTCACTTGGTCTTCCAATTTTTTTCTTCCTTTCCTGTCTTTTTAACGACCTTTTTCTTTCTTCACGACTGATGTTCTTGATGTCATCCCACAACAAGGGGTCTTTAGTCATCAGTGTTCAACATGTCAAATCTGTGCTTGAGATGGTCCCTAAGTTTGGGTGGGACATACTCAGGGTTGGACTTTGGCTCCCATGGATTTGTTTCAATGAATAATTAATAATCTCAGCAAAGTAAAGTGCACGTGCTGAGGTTAGAGGTAGTGCTGGCACGTGGATTTGCACATCCTTCCTGGCGGTGGAGAGGGCCAAGAGGTATAACTTTGAGTTAGTGAATAATGAAGACGTGAGTGCCTTTAACAGCGTCAAGGCAAGTACTGGAAGAGAGAAGTGATACTATGGTGAACCAAGGTCGTGTGACAGGAAAGGCGGGAGATGAGAGGACTGTGGCACTGCCACAGTCACTCACGCGGTGTCAGCAGACGCTCTGGAGGAACCGAGGACTGAGTGAATTCTGAAGGTGAGGGTGAGCGCTCGAAGAACCAAAGATAGATGTTGAGCCTTCCAGAGGCTCCAAAGGGAAAGCGTACGTCCAACAAAGCAAAGCACACACCAGCCATGGAGACAGTGGTGAGAGCAGCCAGGCACAGGGCAGCTACATCCCAGGCCGCGGTGGCTGCAGAGAGTCAGGGCATCTCTACAAATGGGTTCACAATTCCACATTCTCAGATCGTCACCTGAAAGACACACAAGAAACTGACAATCCTGCTTGTTGTCAGTGAGGGGACACGTGGGGCCCAGGAGCCAGGCTGGGGAACTGGCTTCGCACCAGCGATCCTGCTTGCCGTCAGTGAGGGGGCACGCAAGGTCCAGGAGCCAGGCGGGGCACTGGCTTCATGCTGCTGGTTCTGTACCTCTGCCCTGTTTAGTGCCCTGTGGGTATGATCCCAGGAGGAAGAAGAGGTATCCTGCTTCCATGAAGACCGACAACCTTAGAAACCCTACAGGGATCTCTGTGAGTCGGAATCAACTCATGGTGGGTTTGGTTTGTGGATATGATACCCTTCCAAGGTAATCATCCATCATTCCTATACCTCCACTGAAATAAGAATAACATCAACCGGAAGAAAGCCCTGGTGAACTGCTTCCAGCAAATCAGCCGGTGAAAACCCCAAGGAGCAGAACAGTTCCATCTGCAGCCAGCTGTGGGGGCGGCAGGACCGGGTAGCAGGGCTTCGTCCATTGCAGGGGCAGCAGGGCTGGGCACAGCACTTCACCCATTGGCCTGGGGTGGCCGTGAGTCTGACCTGATACCAGTTGACAACAACAAGATGCCCGGGAGTCTCAGAGGTTTGGGGTCAGGTCCCCACCCTCTGACTAGGCGAGGAGGGGAGAGAGCAGAGGGAAGGTGTAGGTAAGGAGTTGCCAGCTTGCCTCTGGAAGCTGCCAGCCACCGGTCAGCGGGTGGAACAGGCCTGGCTTCCGGCAGGGCACCTTGCCTGGGGCCTGGGGCCAGCTGAGCCTCTTCCAGGAAGCTCCAGCCACCATGGTAGGGGAGGTGTCGGTCCATAGGTGGGAGAGCAGGGGTTAATGGCGGCAGTGGGTCGGGGGAGGAAGGTGTGAAGGGTCCCACCAACACCTGGGCCCACAGATACCGTGACAGTGGGCTGTCATCCCCGTCTGCGCGGGAACAGTCATGGCCATGTGGTGGCTGGCAGCTCTCAGGGCTGGGACATTCTCTCAGTTCATCTGCTGCCCTCTTGCTGCCCCTGTGGCAGCCAGCCAGGCTCCTGACGCGGCTGGATCAGTGACAAGGCTGGGAGCTGGGTCACCAGTGAGCTGAGCACCGGAGGGAAGGAGGACAGGAGCGGCCAGGGGAGGCGCCCGGAGTAGAGGGGACCAGGGCCTGGAGGGCACTTCTCACCTAGTGGAGCTGCCGGCCCAGCCCCTCCCAGGTGGCCCCGGGCATTGAGCCGAGCCGAGCTCAGCGCCACCGGCCTGGTTTCCCTCCCCACGTTCACTCTCCCTGGTTGACAGCTTGGCTGTCTTTGCTTCTTGAACCCTACAGCTGCTGCCCCCAACTCAGCTGTAATTAGAACAGGAGCTTGGCAGCTGGATCCCTTGCTGTCCAGGAGCCCAAAGGGGCTGCACTGGGGCCAGTGTGGTGGCCGGACCAGTGGTCTTGGCTGTGCCTGTGCAGAGAGGCCTGGCTGGAGCGGTCTGATTAGCCTCAGACCCTCAGTCACCAACAAAGGGGGGTGACACCACTTCAGGGTCACCGAGCCCCTCCAGCGTGCTTAATATGAGGGGTGATTCAAAGTGGGGCCCCCTAGCTCTCAGCCGCTGTCAGGCTTCTGTTTGGGGGGTGGGCAAGGATGCTGTGCCAACAGTACAGAGTTGCAGGCCCGGGACCATCCGTGTGGCTCGGAAGCACAGGGAGCTGGCAGGACAGGCGGACAGCAGGCCGTGGGCCCCCCTTCCCATCAGAAGACACCACGCCCACAGATGGGAGAGGCGGAGCCAGGGGGGGCTCCACCCACCCCTGCCCACCAGAAGGGTGGGTGCAACAGGCGTCCAGGGATTAGCACTCAGAAGGCCCCTCCGTTCGTCACCATGGGCGTCAATCCCCTCTCCACGCCCACTGTGTCTGAGTCATCCTGGAGGCTGGGGAGGGGGAGGGCAATCACAAAGACGAATGCCCAGGCCTGGGTCCCCAGCACAGACGTGAGGGGGGTGGCAGGCACGCAGCGGGAGCCCCGGTGGAACAGGGTTCACGTGCTCGGCTGCTAACTGGACGAGTGGTGGTTGAACCCAGCAGAGGTGCCTTGAAAGAAAGCCCTGCTGACCTTCAGAGAGGGCCCAGCCTTGGAAACCCCGTGGAGCGGTTCGGCTCTGCACGCACGGTGCCAGGAGTCAGGAGCAGCTCTGCAGCGGCTGGCGGTTCTCGGGCATGCAGTGTGTTCTCCAGGTGAGTGGCTGCGTGACCGAGCAGCTCAGTGTCCTCTGTCCCCCTGCAGGCTACCAGATCGCCTACCGCCTGGCCACCAGCAGCCCCAACACCTTCACCACAGTGGAGGTTGGCGCCACTGTGAGGCAGTTCACGGCCACCGAGCTGGCCCCCGAGTCAGCCTACATCTTCCGGCTGTCGGCCAAGACGAGGCAAGGCTGGGGAGGACCTCTGGAGGCCACTGTCATCACAACTGAGAAGAGAGGTAAGACCATGGGCCACAGGGTGCAGAAGGGGCTCTTCATGACAGCCGTGACCTCCTTGCTCAGGGCTCCGTGGGCGACATGGAGGGGGCGGGAATTTTCCCTTCAGAGAAACAGGGAACAAGACGTACCTTCTGCAACTGCTGGACCAGGCACAGAGCCGGGCTTGTCCTCACCGGGCATCCGTCGGCTCAGCTTTCCAGCTCTTCCTGCTGCTCAGGTAGGGACAAGTGTCCTGTTTAGAAATAGAAGGCTTTCACCCAGAGAGGCCATGTAAGTCAACAAGGTTGCACAGAGGGGACAATGTGTGGAGGTCAGCTGTGAAGCCAGGCCCCCGTCTGATGCTCCAAACCATATCTCCCACTGGGAAAACCAATATCCCACACCTGTCACCCTGGAGTCGACACTGAGTCATGGTGACCCCAGTTCAGAAGTTGCTCAAAAAGAGTACTTCCTAAATGACTGGGACCAGCACCCACTGGACACCTCTCTGTTCTAAGCTCTGGGTTTAGCACTTGGTGTACGTCACCTCACCTCATCCTTGCCACAACCCAGTGAGGAAGGCGGTGCATGCTTCCATTTTGCGGAGGCAGAGACTGAGGCTCAACCAGACAAGTGACATGCTCTCTTGGCCTGCGTTCTCCAGAGGAGCAAACCCAGTGACATGTGTGTCTGTATAGATGCAGATTTATATTAAGGAAACGGCTCACGAAGTTGTGGGGCTGGTAGATCCAAGATCTGCAGGTCAGGAAGCGGCCAAGACTTCCTGCAGGCTTATGTCCCAGGAACCAGAAGTCAGGAGGCTAGAAGAGAGCAGGATCGAGAGAGACCACCAGGCTTTGCCCGGAGCATCCATTTATATACTGGAGGCAAGCCACACCCCAAAGGAAATGCCTCTTTCAACTGATTGGCTCCTCAGATCAGATCACACCAGGATGGTGATTCTATTATATTATGGAGGAACACCCACTCCAGTGTCTGACAAACCAATGAGAATCACAGCCCAGCCTAGTGGACAAACATTCAGCAACACACATGCCCAGGACACAGGTTCTGGAGCTAGGGCTGCACCTAGGCCCCATGGACCCTGAGACCTGCTCCTTCCAGGAACACCCACCGCAGGCTGCTAGCTCGCTCTTCTCCTGCCGCACCTCCCTATCCTGGCCCCTGGAAGTCAACCTACAGCAGGTCCCCTCCTAAGTGGCAGGGGCCTCTGGCCTGAGCAGTCATGGCTGTAAGTCCCAGTTCTGATGCCACGGCCAGGCCCAGAGATCTTGAGAAGAAACGAGGCAGGAAGGAGCTCCAGGGAGCAGGGACCCCAGCGGCACCACAGGGAGGCGCTCAGGTAGCCGCCGCCAGCACAGACGCACGTCAGACCGTCTGCCTACGGGGTGGCCTTGGGCAAGTCCCTGCCCACTCTGTGCTGTGGCCACCCGGTCTGTGGGCACAATTCTAGGAGGGACATTGCAGCCGCTGAGGGTTCTGGGTTCATGCCTGTGAAGCCTGGGGCACAGTGAGGTGACACATGCGTGCGCTACAGAGGCCGTCCCCGGAGTTCCCAAGGACAGAGCCTCACAGTGTGCGTGCTTGATGAACGAGGCAGTGTGGCTCAGGGCTGGAGTTCCTGCCTTCCGTGCTGGAGATCCATGTTCGGTTCCCGCCAAGGCCCCTCGCGCACAGCCCCCACCCGGCCGTCAGCGGAGGCCTGCGTGTTGCTACGATGCTGACAGGTTTCAGCAGGGCGTCCAGATGGAGGCAGACCAGGAGGAGAGGCCTGGGACCAACTTCCAGAATCAGCCCGTGAGGACCCGTGGGCACAACAGGCCAGTCGAGCTTTGTGTGGGGTCGCCGTGAGTCAGGCACCAGCGGCAGCCAACAACAGCAGTGTCATTGTTGTGTTTTTGTAGTTTTTATTACGAGAAGGACGTAGACAATTTCAGGGGGCGATGAGTGGAACCCAGAGGGCTTGAGAAGTCATTTAAAGGACTGATCTTAAATCTAGAAAAGGAAGGCCGCAGGGAAGAGACCCATGTTTCCTGAGCCCTGACTGTTCTGAGAGTCTCGGGTCACATAAACTGCTAACACACTAGACTACTACACGAAAGGTTGCTGGATCAGGTTCACCCAGAGGCATCTCGGAGGAAAGACCTGGCAACTGACTTCTGAAAACCCATCCACAGAAATCCCTGCAGAGCCCGGTTCTCCTCTGACACGTGGGGCTGCCACGGGCCAGGGTCGGCGGGACGGCCCGCAGTGGCTGAGGGGGGTAGAGAAGGCCGCCACGAGCCAGGGTTGGCGGGACAGCCTGCAGTGGCTGAGGGGTGCAGAGAATGCCTCCATGAATTGGGGTCGATGGGATGGCCCTCAGTGGGTGGGGGGGCAGAGAAGGCCACCATGGCCAGAGTCGGTGGGACGGCCCGCAGTGGCTGAGGGGGGCAGAGAAGGCTGCCATGAATCAGGGTCGATGGGACGGCCCACAGTGGGTGGGGGTGCAGAGAAGGCCGCCGTGAGTTGGGGTCGACGGGACGGCCCGCAGTGGCTGAGGGGGCAGAGAAGGCCGCCATGAGTTGGGGTCGACGGGACGGCCCGCAGTGGCTGAGGGGGCAGAGAAGGCCACTGTGAGCTAGTGCTCTGGGGAGTGAAGTGTGACAGAGGCCCCCAGCCGCAGCGCTGTGATCAATCGCTGTGTTATTACACGCTGCACATTTTAATCAGAATCAATGATCTTCCCGATAAACAATTAAACAATTATTCCTCCCTCCACTGAGCTGCTTATTGGAATCGATGGCTGAGGAGACAGTGACGGGGACGGACTGCATTCAGATGTGGGTCCTGCAGACAGTGAGCGCTGACTACCAGAGGGGCCGTGCCCCACAGCCCTAAAGACCCTGTGACAGGCTCCTTGACCATCGCAGGCTCAGGCTGGCTTCGGGGAGGCAACCCCAGTGTTCAGACGTGCCGAGCCCCGAAGCAGAAGGAGGGTGGGTGCAGGGCAGCCCACCGCTGCCACCAGAGCCCTAGCCACGGTGTCCTTCAGAGACACCCGCTCACGAGGCAGGAGCAGTCAGGGGAAGACACTGCCTGTCCCCCCATGACCACTCGCCGCTGAAGGTCTGCTTCTTCCCTCCGGAGGCGCCTCCTGGAGCAAGCAGACCCAGTGTGGCACCCCTGAGCCACCTGCCAAGAGCGTGGGGGGCTTCCCGCCCCCGTGACACTGGGAACATCCTCCAGGTTGTCCTGTGAGTCAGGCCACGTCAGTGGCAAAGCCAGGTGCGACTACTCACCCCCACCTTTCTGAACAGCACCCACTCAGGTGGCCCTTGGCCTGTCCTCTTTTGGTTTCAGAGCGGCCAGCGCCCCCCCAAGAGCTCCTGGTGCCGCAGTCGGAGGTGACTGCCCGCAGCCTCAGGCTCCAGTGGACGCCGGGCAGTGACGGCGCCTCCCCCATCCGGTACTTCACCGTGCAGGTTCGGGAGCAGCCCGCAGGAGGATGGCAGACCTACTCCTCATCTGTCAGCCATGAGGCCACCGCCTGCGTGGTTGAAAGGTACCGTGGGGACAGGAGGCCCTCCCTGGGAGCAGGGGCCCGTTCTGGCCCCCTCCAGCCAGCACCACCTGCAGAATGCAGTGTCTGTGGTCCTAGGAGATGTACCCACCACAGGCACACCCCCTCTCCTCCTTCCAGGGGCCTCAGCACCCTGGAAGCTGTTTCCAGGGGCCTCCTAGGCCCTGCACAGGCCTGTTCTCCCCAGGGTGCACCGGTGGAGCCGGGGTAAGCGTGGATGTGCCCCTTGAGAGGCAGGGGTTTGGGAGAGAGAACAGAGGTGTGAACGAGGGGTGGGCCTAGGCCTACAAGCATCAAGGGTGGGAGACAAGTTCCTCTCTTGGGTGTCTCTACAGCAGCACAGACAGAATCTGGCTGAGGGCTGTCATGAGTCATCTCTGACGGGGACAAGCTGAGGACACTCAGCCCCCTGTTGGAGGACGGCATTGGTTCAGACGCAGACACGGCGAGTCGGGGGTTAGAAAATCAGTCACGTTACCACAACTGCCGTCGATTTGGCCGCAACGCGTGGCACCCCGTGCGCAACAGACCAAGCCGTGGCCGGTCCTGCGGCATTTCCACGATCAGTCATGGGCCAGGGTTCTCCCTGGTGAATTTCAGAAATAGATCACCAGCCCTTTCCCCCTACTCTGTCTGCGACCAGAAGCTCCGCTGAGACCTGTTAGCAACACAGAGCCTCCAAGGACAAGCGGTGGGGGCTGCCCCGGACGTGCACGGGCTGGCCTCGAACCGGGGTCTCCCTCACAGAGGGCGAGAATTCTGCGGCTGAGCCCCCACGGCCCCGTCAGCTCGCAGCCCTCCGATCGGGAAGATGAAATGGAAGGGGTGTCACTGCTGACGTCACCCTGCAGACGGTGCACGGTGATCTGGTCAGCTGACTTCTGGTGGCCAAAGCTGTCTGCCAGGTCTTCCCACAGCCGTCCATACGTTGTCTCGTCACTGTGCGGCATTCTAGAACATTGCAGACAATCCTCACGCGTGGTTTCATGACACGCTCTTAACGGCCCCGTCTACAGGACCAGCCTTTCACTGTCCCCGTTTTACAGACGAGGCTGTTGAGGCCGAGGTTCCCAAGGCAGCAGAGCTGGGCCTCAAGCTCTTCTCTGGGGGAAGAGGACGTCCGCACCCGTCTTTGGGTCTCAGACTTTCTGGGGGCCTGTAGCTCAGAGCTTCCTGGAGACAAACCTTTCCTTGCAGCTCCCTTGGGAAGGTCTCACAGTGGCCCCGCGAAGCCCAGATGGCGTTTGGTCAGCTGCTGACCTGAAGGTAGTGGTTCGAACCCAGGCAGTGGTTCTGTGGAAGAAAGTTGGTGACCTGCTTCATGAAGATTATCGACTCGGAAACCCTAGGAGCAGCCCCGCTCTCCCACACGGGGTCCCCGGCAGTCGGGGTCACCTCAAAGGCAGCAGGGTGTTTGCTTAGGATGTGGTACAAAGAAGAGTGTCCGGAGTCAGAGCCCAGGCTTCAGCACTGTCTTCCCTCGGTAGCCACCTAGCCTAGGAAGCGTCCCTGTGCACTTCCTCAGCCCAGTTTCTCATCTGTGACAAGCCAGGCTGCAGGAAGGGGCCTGTGGCTCCTCTCAACTGGCTGCATGTACCTCTGCCTCTGGTGCCGGCATCAGGGACTCAGCAGCCACGTACACCACGCACCATCCTTCAGCTCCGCCCCTCCACGTGGCTGCCAGAACTCCACTAACCCTCCGAGTGACAGCAGTGGGACACAGAGGTGACTCCTGGCCTCTCCTGGGAGGGTCCTGAATGCAGGGCCATGGTGGCCCCAGGGGAGCGTGGCCCCTGGCAGGCGCAGCCTCACTTCATGCGCCCCCTGCTGGTGCCCTGGGCACTGGGTTCAATTAGCAGTGTGCTCTGGGCGTGCAAAACTCTCCTTTGTGTGACTGTGTGGATGGAAGAAGGGAAAACCCAGGCTGTCTTCGGAGCGGAGCCTTCCGAAATCAAACGGGCTAATTGTGCGAGCGCCGGACTTCACGTGGGGAGGCGAGGGCCGTGATTCGGGGTAGACGGTTTAATCAGGGCTGTCAATTCCCTAATGGGCCCGAACTCGGCCAACGCTTTCTGCACCCATCAGCAGGACGCTGGTCACTGGCAGGAGCCGGGAAGGCGGCATCGCGTCCTCTGCTGCGGTGCGATCCTCCCCGGTCTGAGAAGCCTGACAGCTACGCTTTCTTTCTCAGCCTCAGTGCACGCTTGCCAGCTGCTGCAATCTGCAAGGGGCCAAAGCCCAGCAAGGGTTAAGCCATCAATGTCCGGTTACTGTGCCGGCGGCTGGCGGCTGCCATGGGGTCAGTGTGACGCTGGCGACCCTGCGCCTGTCACAGTGTCACGGTCACAGGGTTCCCGGGGCGGGTTTTCCTGAAGTGGGCCCATCCCCAGGCCGTCCTTCCTATGCCACCAGGTGGACTCGAACCATCACCCCTTGAGCTGGCAGCCAAGCTCGTGACCCGTCGCGCCACCCTGGGAGTCGGGTGTGAGTGTGAGTCTGAGCTGCTAGCGGGAACCCTTGGGTGGCACACACTGTTACGCACCCAGCTGCCAACCACAAGGCTGGCGATTGGAGCCCACTCAGCGCCTCCGAAGAAAGGCCTGGTGATCTGCCTGCCCCAGACCAGCCGTTGAAAACCCGCCGAGCACAGCTCCATTCTGGCACACACAGGGTCGCCCCGAGTCAGGGTCCTCCCGACAGCACCTGGCTGGGTGCTGGGGAGCTGGGGAGAGGGGCAGGCTCAAGGGGCATCCTCAGACAGCATCAGCTTCTGGGTGACGGTGACATTCCAGACCAGCTAGCATCCCACAGGAATGGAGCGTCCTCGTCAAGGACCAAGTGAAGGTCCCCAAGCCCAGAGCCACGTGAATATTCCAGACGTCACTTAGGGACCGGTGGCACCGCCAGCCCATCATCAGGCTCACCTGGTGATGGAGCCGCATCAGTGAATTCCAGCTTTGACCACCGCTGGGGACCGAAACCCAAAACACAAGGGCCACCGTGAGCACCAGAGTGGCCCCGTCTCCGTTGCATCCTTCGTTTCTTCTGCTGTGTAATCTTGACGAGTGGCCAAGACTGTCCACACACAGAGGTGTGCTTGGTTCTTTGTCTGCACCCCTCATACTCAGCAAACTCCCCAGAGTCTTAACCACAGATACGTAAGAGCAGCGACGGGGAGCTTTCAAAGCGCTCAGGACCGTGCGTTTTATTCTCGGAACGAAAATGAATGGATAACCAGAGCTCTTTTTCTGTCTGCAAGACTCTGCTCTTGCCGGGGCGGGAGGGTGCGCTGCAGAACTGGGGGCGGGCCCCCCAGCCCCTGGGCCGAGGAGGTCCAGGCTGTGTGTGAGAAGACACCAGCATAGCCCCAGGCCTGCCTCCACAGGCATCCGGCCCGCTTTGGATTGCAGCAGTGGGGCAGTGAGGAGCCCTGTGTTCTCCGGATCTGTCCGTCGGCGGCCATTTTGGATGGCTGTGAGAAGTTAGGTAGCGAGTGTGATCACAAAAACGTTTACCTGAATCTGCCCAGTCTCTGAGTTCTGACAGCGGGAGTCTGGAAGGTGCTGCAAGCAGCGGACACACTCAGCAACTAACCAAAACTTCGCAGGTTCGAGTCCACCAGAGGCACAGCATAGGAAAGGCCTGCTGACCTACTTCTGAAATCGGCCACCAGACACCCCTGGAGCACAGACTCTCTTTGACCCCCGTGGGGGCACCATGACTCGCAGCTGGCTAGGAGGCGCCTGGGGTTTGAATGAGAAGTGCCGGAAAAAAAGGACCAGGAAGTACATTTGTGACATGCCCGCTACGGTGATGTGCAATGCCATGTGGGCGGACTCTGTCACCTACCCCTGTCAGCAGCCCCGGGACGTGTGGGTGCTGTCACCACCAACCGTAGGGATGAGGTACCTGTGCCCCAGAGGAGGGCGTGCCCAGGCTGGTGGCGGTGGGACCAGGATTTGAGTTCAGATTTGGCTGGCTCCAAAGCAAAGCTTCAAGAGACCTAGACGAGTAACAGTGGAATTTAGGGAACCAGAAGGAATGAAGCCTTCCGGAACCATCCGTCCGTTTACTCAGGCGTCCAGTAGTCGTTGCATTTGTTCTCTGCTGCCGGCACAGCCCTGGGCCCGAGAGTGTGGCAGCTACAACAGGCTGGAGGGCCCAAGACTGGGCCGAGGGTTAGGGCTGGCGGGTAGACCAGGAGTTCAAAGGAGAGATGTGGTGAAGCCAGGATGCGCACAGAGGATGTGGCTGAGTCAGCTGAGGAGACGGGGAGGGGGGACATCAGCACTGTCATCTGACTGATGGGTGGCTGCTGCCTGCAGGGCCGCCAAGCTGCTCTTCACCTGTCTCCAGAGTGCCTGGGAGCCCTGCTGCTCCCACCCCTCAGCGTTCCCTCGGCCCAGAGACACAGCTGATCTCCGGGAGGGAGGGGAGCCGGGCAAGCCCAGGTCTAATGCTGGCACCTCAGCGTTCTCTGCACACAACCCCTTCATCTCACGCTGGGCCCGTCTATGTGACCAGCTGACATGTGCTAACCGCACACCTGCCTCATGCCCTGTGCTTTTCTGGACTCAGGAAGGTATTCAAGAAAAAGTGGTCTTCCGGGATCTGCAGTGTGGCCCAGGTGCCCATGTCATCAGACGACGGGGAGGCACTGAGCTGTGATGACAGGAGCCCCCTGTGTAGCACTTACCACGAGGACACTGGCCAGGCGCTGTGGGTGGCCGACGCATCAGGGCTCGGGGCAGCCGAGCATCATCACAAGAGTTTGGCCGAGGTCCTGGCCTTAGACGTGGTGCAGTGCTTGGCACATTAGGACCAAATGAACACTGGACGGCTAGAGAGAGGGAGGGGTGAGTGGGTGATGGATGGACAGACGGACAGACAGACCGGTGGTGCAGGAGTGAGTAGATGGATGGATGAGTGAATGGGTGGGTAGGTGGGTGAATGATGGATGGATGGATAGATGGATGGACAGATAGGTGGACAGATAGGTGGGCAGGTGGATTAGAGGATGAGTGAGTGGATGGACAGATGGATGGATTGGTGGGTGGATAGATGGATAGGTGGGTGGATAGATGGATAGGTGGGTGAGTGAGTGAATGAGTGCATAGATGAATCAATGGTAGATGGGTGAGTGGATGGATGGGTGGGTGGGTTGGTGAGTGTGTGGATGAGTGGATGGATGGATGGATGGATGGGTTGATGGATGGGTGGATGGATGGGTGGATGGGTGGATGGATAGATAGATGGATGGATGGGTGGGTGGGTGGATGGGTGGGTGGGTTGGTGGGTGTGTGGATGCGTGGATGAGTGGGTGGATGGATGGATGGATGGATGGATGGGTAGATGGATGGATGGGTGGATGGATGGGTGGATGAGTGGATAGATGGGTGGATGGATGGGTGGATGGATGGATGGATGGATAGAAATAGGCATGAATTGATGACACAAGCAGGACCCTGGGGGCGTGTTTGTGTCCCTAAGTCTCCATCATGGTCTGGGGTACGTGTATCCATGGCGACGATTTACATTATCTTAGTCTTAGGTAAAGTCTACGCCATGTTGCCCCAGCCCTCTGGCCCTTTCCCAGCCCGCTGCCTGCCCTGAGGGCTCAGCCTGTTTCCAACACAGCAGGTGGCGGGCTTTTCTAGTAGCTGGAGCCTGGGGTGGTGGCCTCACTGGGGCAGGGAGGCAGATGCTGGGAGCGCAGCTTCACACAGGAGCATTTTGGGGAGAGCAAGCGAGGCGACCCAGGCAGGGAGGTGTTTTCCATTCTGTGATTACAGAGACATGGAGGTGGGTCCTTCGGAGGAGCCCTGGGAAGACTTCCCTTGCCCGCTGGGGAACAGCGCCCGCCCCCACTGGCTCTGCTCTCCCCGGGGCTGCTGTTCAGCCGAGCCCCGGGGACCACTCCTGGAAGGTTCCGGTCCCCTGGAAGCTCCCGCACCCCGGGCCCTGCCTGGGACCAGGCTGAACCAGCACTCTGCAGAGCGTTGGTCTGGGGTCACCAGGAAGCCTGTGAGCTCGGGGCAGAGCGACCTTCATGCTCCTTCCGCCGGCTCCGGGGCTCCTGAGGGCAGGGACACAGAGACGCTGCCCGGCGTTCACTGGGCCCCTTCCATGTTCCAGGCTGAGGCCCTTCACCTCCTACAAGCTGCGCCTAAAAGCCACCAACGACATCGGGGACAGCGACTTCAGCGCAGAGACAGAGGCAGTGACCACGCTGCAGGACGGTAAATGACGCACGGCCAGTGGCCGACGGAGCAGCCCCCAGGGCGGCAGTCTCCCTCTGCAGGAAGCACCCACTTTTGTTGTGGGTAGAGAGGGTTCCGGAGGGAGCTCGTGGGGAATCCACTTACGGAGGGCCAGCCATGGGCTCCTGCAGACCCACTGGCCGTAAATCAAGGCTGCAGGGGCTTCTGAACGGCTTGGCAGTTCCTTTGATTGACTTCCATCCCCAGTTCTCCATCAGTATCCCAGACAGTGAATAATTTATGGGATCATTAAAAGTGAATGTCAGAGGGGGCTGGGTTCTCGGTGGTTTCTCCACTCCTTCCCATTCACGAGCCACCCCAGCTGATGACGGCACTCTTAGTGACAGAGTGTGAGCCCAGCGAGCTCCAGGTGGTGTTGCCAGTCCCGGGCTTTCCTGAGTGGACTGGGGCCTGGATGTGTGTCGTGGTGTGGGTGAGCTGGCCCTACCAGGCAGCAAGGAAGCCTGGAGACAGCTCCATCACTCACAGGTGGCACAGGGACAGCCAGCCTTTAGGACAGGGAGGGATGGATGGGAGGGAAGAGATGGTCAGCTCAGATCCAGGGCTGGACACATGAGCACGGGTTCCATCAGTGGGGTTCCCGGCGGCTCCCCGGCCCCCTCTCCCAGCCTCGATCTTTTTCCACCTAATGTACCAGCAGGGCCACTTTTAAATAAACCGATTTCCAGCAGACTGACCCAGTGATCTCACAGCTTCAATCTGGCATCTTTTATAAAGTGGATGTATCATTCCTGCCACCAGTGCCTCTGATGACCTTAAGGACCATCAGAGAGGCCATGACCTTAGGACCATAGGAGAGGCCATGAGCTTAGGACCATCAGAGGGGCCATGACCTTAGGACCACCAGAGGGGCCATGACATCTTAAGGACCATCAGAGGGGCCATGACCTTAAGGACCATCAGAGGGACCATGACCTTAGGACCATCAGTGGGGCCATGACCTTAGGAGCATCAGAGGGGCCATGACATCTTAAGGACCATCAGAGGGGCCATGACCTTAGGACCATCAGAGGGGCCATGACCTTACATCAGAGGGGCCATGACCTTAGGACCATCAGAGGGGCCATGACATCTTAAGGACCATCAGGGGTGAAGGGTAAGGGTTTCCAGGTGGTGGTTGGGTGCTGTCCGGTCAGTTCCCACTCACGGTGACGCAGTGAACGAAACGCTGCCCGGTCCTGCGCCATCCTCCTGGTCGTAGCCATGCATGAGCCCGATGAGGCAGCCACTGTGTCCGTCCATCTCGTTGAGGGCCTTTCTCTTTTTTTCTGTCCCTCTACTGTACCAAGCATGATGTCTTCTCCGGGGGCTTGCCCTCCTGGTAACATGTCCAAAGTCGATGAGACAAAGTCTCACCATCCTTGCTTCTAAGGAGCGTTCTGGCTGTACTTCTAAGACAGACATGTTTGTTCATTCTTGTGGCATCTGTGCTATAGGCAGTATTCATTGCCAACACCGCGATTCAAAGGCACCAACTCTCCATCTTCTTTATCCACTGCCCAGCTTTCACATGCACATGAGGCAATTGAAAATACCACGGCTTGGGCATCAGCTTTTCAACACTTTCAAGAGGTCTTTTGCAGCAGATCTGCCCAGTGCAATACGTCCTCTGATGTCTTGACTGCTGCTTCCATGGGTATTGATTGTGGATCCAAGTAAATGAAACCCTTGACAACTTCAGTCTTTTCTCCATTTATCATGATGCTGCTTGCTTGTCCAGTTGGAAGAGTTTTGTTTTCTTTATGTTGAGGTGTAATCCACACTGAAGGCTCTCGTCTTTGATCTTCAAGTCATCCTCACTTTCAGCAAGGTTGCGTCATCTGCATGTCGCAGGTTGTTAATGAGTCTTCCTCCAATCCTGATGCCATGTTCTTCTTCATATAGTCCAGTTTCTCGGGTTATTTGCCCAGCACATAGATTGAATTAGTATAGTGAAAAGATATCATCCTGATACACACCTTTCCTGATTGTAAACCATGCAGTGTCCCCTTGTTCCGTTTGAACAACTGCCTCTTAGTCTATGTACAGTATGCATGTGAGCACAATTAGGTGTGTGGAATTCCTATTCTTCCCCGTGTTATCCATAATTGATTATGATCCACACCGTCAAACACCTTTGCATAGTCGATAAAACACAGGGAAACATCTTCCTAGGGTTATTTGCTTTCAAATCTGTCCTGGAAGAAGTGCAGCTGGAATGCTCCTTGAAAGCAAGAATGGCCAGACTTCGTCTCACCCATTTTTTCCATGTCATAGAAGGGACCATTCCCTGGAGAAGGAAATCATGCTTGGTAAAGTGGAGGGTCAGCGAGGAAGGGGAAGGCCCTCAACAAGAGAGATTGGCACAGCGGCCGCAGCGATGGGCTCCAGTGTGGCAAGGATTGTGAGGCTGGCACAGGATTGAGCAGAGCTTCATTCTGTTGTGCGTAGGGTCACTGTGGATCAGAGCTGACTTGACGGCACCTAACAACAACAGCAGCAACTGCTTCAGCCAAGATCCATGTGACTTCCGTGCCCCTCGTTCCACACCCTCTTCTGATTTGGGCAGCTCCCTGCTGACATACTGCTACACCCGGTTTTGAAACATCTTCAGCAAAATTTTACTTGTATGTGATATTAATGATATGTCTTCTATCTTCAGAAATGACTAGTGTATCCTTCCCTTTTGTTTTTCTAACTCCAGGTCTTTGCGCATTTCATGACAATACTTTACTTTGTCTTCTAAAGCTGCCCTTTGAAACCTTGTGTTCGGCTCTTTCATGGCATCATTTCTTCCACTCGCTTTAGCTGCTCTCCGTTCAAGGGCAAATCTCCAAGTCCCTTCTGACATCAATTTTAGTTTCTTCTTTCTTTCCTGCCTTTTTAATGACCTTTTGCTTTCTTCAGGTAGGATATCTTTGATGTTACCCCACAGCTCATCTTCTCTTTGGTCATTGATGTTCAATGCATCTAATCTATTCTTTTTTTTTAATTGTGATTTGGGTGAAAGTTTACAGAGAAAATTCACTTTCCATACAGCAGTTCACATATACTTTGTCTCATGACATTGACTATAATTTACCCCAATGCAACAGCTCCCCTCCCACTTGCTCCCTATAGTTTGCTCTTCTCTGTGTCCTCCCTCCATGCACTCCTGCCCCCTGAGCTGTCTCCCTGTGCACACACAGTCCTTCTACTCTCCCATGATTGTTCTCTCCAAGGAGTGTATCTACCGCAGGTAAATGTTGAACTCCTATGCCTGTCTTTTGTTTGGCTGGAAGCCACAGGTGTGGGTTCAATTCCAGACCTGAAGGGCCGCTAGGGGTCATAGTCTCAGTGGTTCCACCAGGCTCTATCAAACCAACAAACCTGGTCCCCCTTTTTTTTTTTTTTCAAATGATTTTGAGTTTTGTTCCACATTGTTCTCCCTCTCTATCCAGGATCTCCTACATAGATCCCCCTCCAAGTGGTTGACAGTGGTAGCCAGGCACCATCTAGTTCTTCTGGTCTCATAGTTGTATAGGCTGAGGATCACATGGTGTACCAGTCTCTAGGACTAATTGTTTCAACGAATCTTTGGTTTTCCTCATTCTTCTTTGCTCTGGATGAGGAGAGACCCATCGTTGCATCTAGATGGCTTCTTGCAAGCTTTTAAGATCCCAGTCGCCAAAGTAGGAAGTGGAACAATGTTTTGTGTAGTATATTATGCCAGTTGAGTTTGATCCCCTCTGTGACTATGGTCCTGAGCCCACAGGTTCAACTACTCAGCCCCTCTGGGTAGCTGGCTGTGACCAAGAAGTGACTACAATCTTGTTCCTTGTCAGCGCTACTATCCACCTGGGAATTCTTACAGAACATACAAATACATTTGTAGGACCATTATCTGCCAACCCTATACATGGTCTTGGATACACTCCCTGCTGCATAGACATACCTAAGAGTTCGGCCTGTCCACCCAAATATCCACCCGTATACCCATGTTTGCCTTCA